AGGAAGCCTTGCCTGACATTCTCCCACCAAGCGGCCAAGTAAATATATCCTATGACATGCTCCACAGCACCAGGGACTTCCAGCATTTATTGCTGTAATTAAGTTGCACTTACTTGCCTATTGTCCATTTCCCCATGAGGCTAAGACTCACAAGGGCACTGCTTTGTTTTGCTCACTGCTGAGTTCTCCTCTGCTCAACAAAGCGCCTGGTACCTAGTTGCTGGGGACAAAAAGCAGAGACAAAGGCTCCCAAGCTGTATTCTCCTTCCAACGCACCGCTTGGCTCTTTCCAAGTCATCATTGGCTTGCTCCAGCTCTCTGATGTACTTCTGCAGCTGGTCTTTAATTGCTTCGTCTGTGCGAGGTCATCCTCCAAGGCGCGAGATCTGCCGGTAGCCTTCGGAATGCTGCATTTCAAACTTCTCCTGAAGGACAAAACACACACTCAGTGAATGATTCGGGACTTCTAATAAGCTATGTTTATTTTCTCTCCCTTGTCATCTCCTTAAAAACAATGAAGTTTAATCCTGGAACACGTGCACTCCTGCTGCAGTGGATCATTTTTTTGTCAATTCTTTGTGGCCACTGAAAAGGCATCCTATCTTCTGCCCCAACAAGAAAGAAAGAGAAAGAAACAGAGAAAAGACAAGCAAGAAAAGAAAGAGAGAACACAGAAAGACAAAGAAGGGGAAGAAAAGAAAGGGAAAAAGGAAAGGAAAAGGGAACAGAGAGGGGATCCCTGTTTTTTTTTTTATTTTTAAAAAAATTAAAATCAAAAGAAAGCCCTTTTTTTTTTTTTTTTAGCCAAAAAATGGAAAATCTAAGCTTTTTTTTTTAAAGTGCCCTTTTTTTTTTTTCCCCCAAAAAAGGCCCAAAAAGAAACCAAAAGTTCCCAAAATTTGAAAAAAAAACATTCTCCAACAATGAATTTCCCCTGGTTTGGCCCCAGTTTTTTGGGAAGCACCCAAACAAAAATTTTTTAAAAATTCAAACTTCCACCCCTTTAATTTTTTCCCCTTTTGTGGGGCCCAAGCCTTTTTCCAAAAAAGGCCTTTTAAAATTTTTACACCTTTTTTAAAAACATACATTTTGCCTTCCGAATTTTTTAATCCCAAAAAACTTTTTTTTTTCAAGAGAAAAAGTTGGGGAAATTTTCTGAAAAGGCTTTTTCAAAGTTTTTTACTTAAAAACCTAGCCCAAAAAGTTTGGGTTAAAAAGCAAAAAAAAAAAAGTTTTGAAAAAAATAAGGCCCCTAAAGAAAAATCAAACCCCCAGGCCCCAGCTTTTTTTGAGCCCTTTTTGGTTTGGCTTTTTTTTTTTTCTTTTTTTTAAAACTTTGCCGGCTTAAAAAACGGCCCCCCTTTAAAACCATTTTTTTTTTTCCCCAATTCAGGGTTTTTTTTCTCTTTTGCCCCTAGGTTTAAAATTTGAAAAACCATTTCCCCTTCGTTCCTGCCCCCTTGCTTTTTTTTCCTCCTTTTTTTTTCCCAAAAACAAAATTAAACTTTTCCCTTTTTTTTTTTTTTTTTTTCAATCAAAACCACCGCCAACTTTTTTTTGGATTCTTTTTTAAAACAAAAACCATTTTGAAACCGAAAAACTTCCTCAAAAACTTTTTTCCCCGCAAAAAAAAAAGGGCCCCAAAAAAAGGTTTTCTTTTTTAAAAATTTTTTTTTTTTTAAAAGTTTAAAGAAAAAAAAAAAAGAAAAGAAAAAAGAAAAAGGCAAAACTTCCTTTTTTTTTTTTTTTTTTTTTTTGGCCCCTTTTTTTTTTTTTCTTTTGACCTCCGCATTTTGTTTTAAAAACAAGAGGCTTTGTTTTTTTTGCTAGGAAACAGTTCCTTTTGGATTTTTTTTGCGGCTTTTTTTTTGGGGGGAGAAAAAGTGAATTTTTGCAATGGGTGGGCCCAGGCCAGAGAGGCCGTTTGGCCTTTAGAGCCAAAAACCTGCTTTTTTGTGAAAAAAAAAGAAGAAAATTTTGTTCCCCGGAAAAAGAAAACAAGTAGAAAAAATTTTATTTTTTTTTTTTTTTTAAAAATTAGGCTGGAAAAAATGACAATGGGAAAAAGGGCCCAAAAAAAACTTTTGCCCCAAAACATTCCCCTTCCCATTTTTTTCTTTTGGCCCTTTTTGTGGAAAGCCAAAAAGAAAAAAAAGGTTGGTTTTTCCCACCCCCCTTTTGCCCAACCTCAAAAAAGGCAAAAAACACACAGGCTTTTTGACCAAAGGCCCCCCCAAAAATTTTCCCAAGGGGGCAAAGCTCTTGACCAAAACCCTTTCACGCCCCCTTTTTTTTTTTAATTTTTTTTGGGGACAAAATTTTTTTTCCCCAAAAATAAAAACAAGGGAAAATCCTAAAGGGCCAATTAAAAACCTTAAATTCCAAAAAAAAAAATTGCAAAAAAGGTTCCCAAGAGGATTGCCAGGGAAAAAAATTGGCCCCTGCCCACCTTGCCACCAGAGGCTTTTTTTCTTTTTTTTTTTTTTTAATGATAATTTTTTTCTTTTTTTTTTTTTGAAACTTAAGGGGAACGTTGGAAACCCACCTTTGTTTTTTTTTTTTTGCTTGCCAGATGTTGGGTAAAAAAAAAAAACTTTTTTTTTTTAATTTGGGCCCTAAAATTTTCCAACCAAACCCGTTTTTTTTTTTTGTCCAAAAGCCTGATTGAGGGCAAAAATCAAAAATAGATGCCCCTTTTTTTTTTTTTTTTTTTTTTTTTGTTTTTTTTTCAAAATCCCCTTTTAACCAGACCTTTTTTTTTTAAATTTTTTTCAAAAAACTTTTTTGGTGGGAAATTTTAAATTTAAAGCCCCAAAGTTTTTTTTTTTTTTTTGTTAAGAAAAATTCTTGGTCCTAAAAAAAAAGCTTGAGTACCTTTTCCGCCTTTTTTTAAGGGCGATTTGACAAAACAAAATGTTTTTTTTAGGATCACTTGAGCCCAGGAGTTTGAGGTTACAGTGAGCTATTGATGACACCACTGCGTAACAGCCTGGGCAACACAACAAGACCCCATCTCAAAATTGGCTCTTATAATTATGTTCAAGGATATAAAAGAAATCTCAGTAGAGGAGTAGAAATTACAAAAAAAAAAAAAAAAAAAAAGAACCAAATATAAATTCTGGATCTGAAAATACAATGTCTCTAACAGTAAACATTTTTTGATCCAGTTTAACAGCAGATTGGAGAAGAGAGAAGAGGGAGTCTGTGAACTTGAAACTAGATCAATATAAATTATTCAATTTAAGGAACTAAGAGAAAATATTTAGAAGGAAAACTAAACAGAGCCTCAGGGACCTGTCCAGCAATATCAAAAGGATGTGTTTAGTTGGTGTGTCCCACAAGGACAGGAGGAAAAAATGGGGCAGAAGAAAATCTTTGATGAAATAATGACCCTAGTTAAATCTGGAAAAAGACAAATTTATTGACTAAAGCAGCACAGCAAACCACTATCAGGATAAATACAAATAAAGCCACATCCAGGTATGTTCTAATCAAACTACTGAAAACCAAAAATAGAGACTCTAAGCAGCAGAGAAAACAACACATCACACACAAGGGAGTGAGTACTCAAATGATCCTGAACTTCTGATCGGAAACAAGGAGATCAGAAGGCAGTGCCACATCTGTAAAATGCTCAAAGGAAAAAACCCCTATCAACCCAGAATTCTACCTCCAATAATAATCCCCTTCAAGGACGAAGGCCAAATAAAGACATTTCCAGATAAAAGCAGACTTCGTCACCAGCAGCATCTACACGGCCGGAAACCCCAGGGGCAGTGTTCCAAGTGGAAGGGACTCGGTGTCAGAAGGAAACTGAGGTCTTCAGGAAAGAATGAAGAGCACCCAGCGTGCCAGTAAATATAAAAGGTTCTGTTCTACCCTCTTAATTCTTTAAAAATACAGATGAGTTTTTAAGCAAAAATCGTAACAAGGAATTGCGGAATCCACGGCATTTGGAGGTTAACAGCTGCGAGAGCTACAGCATAAAGTGTGAAGATGGTAAATAAAACTAAGGTTGCACTATTGTTACTTTTGCAGGAAGCGATACAGTATTACCTAAATAGCTTGGAAAGTTAAAGATGCATCGTATACCCTAAGGCTGCAGTCCCCAAACCCCAGGCCGTGGCCCAGCAGTACCAGTCTGTGGCCTGTTAGGAACTGGGCCACACCATCACTGCCTGAGCTCCACCTCCCCACCCCACCACCAGTCCATGGAAAAATTTTCTTCCATGAAACTGGTCCTTGGTGCCAAAAAGGTAGGGGATCACTGCCCTAAGACAACTACTAAAATAATAATAATAATAATAATAATAATAATAATAATAATAATGCAAGTAACTTTGAGGACAATGAAAATGTTCTGCATCTCAACAGGAGTGTGGGTTACATGTACGTACACATTTGTCAAAACTGATAGAACAGTACTCCTAAAATCTGTGCATTTCACTGTAATTCATGTATGAATTTTTTAAAACACAAGAATTTTTGTCAAAAAAAAAAGGGCCCAACTCAGACTATTCCATAAATGTTAGTTATTGTTGTTATTCTGCTAAATACCACACCAGTTTATGAAACACTGTTCCTTCAATATGCTTCTTTCCTTTCTACCTCAGGGCCTTCGCACATGCCCCTCCTCCTGCCTGGAATGCTCTCCTCTCTCTCTGGTCCCCTGGAAAATGGCTATTCATCCCTCTGGTCTTAGCCTAACTGGCATTTCCTCTAGGAAGCCTTGCCTGACATTCTCCCACCAAGCGCCAAGTAAATATATCCTATGACATGCTCCCACAGCACCAGGGACTTCCAGCATTTATTGCTGTAATTAAGTTGCACTTACTTGCCTATTGTCCATTTCCCCCATGAGGCTAAGACTCACAAGGGCACTGCTTTGTTTTGCTCACTGCTGAGTTCTCTCTGCTCAACAAAGCGCCTGGTACCTAGTTGCTGGGGACAAAAAGCAGAGACTAAAGGCTCCCAAGCCTGTATTCTCCTTCCCAACGCACCGCTTGGCTCTTTCCAAGTCATCATTGGCTTGCTCCAGCTCTCTGATGTACTTTTGCAGCTGGTCTTTAATTGCCTTCGTCTGTGCGAGGTCATCCTCCAAGGCCGAGATCTGCCGGTAGCCTTCGGAATGCTGCATTTCAAACTTCTCCTGAAGGACAAAACACACACTCAGTGAATGATTCGGGACTTCTAATAAGCTATGTTTATTTCTCTTCCTTGTCATCTCCTTAAAAACAATGAAGTTTAATCCTGGAACACGTGCACTCCTGCTGCAGTGGACATTTGTCATTTTGTGGCCACTGAGCATCTATTCTGCCCCACAGAGAAAGAGAGAAACAAAAGAGAAAAGAACAGAAAGAAAGAGAGAGAACAGAAAGACAGAGGGAGAGAGAACAGAAAGACAGAGGGAGAGAGGGAAGGAAGGAAGGACAGAGAGGGATCCTGTTATTAATTATCAAAGGAAGCTTAGCATGATCTAGCTAGTGCTTTCCAAAGGCAAAGAGCAGTCCAAATGACATCTCAGTGATTCCCTGGTGCCCAGTTGGAGCACAAACATTTATCACTCACCTATTCTGTGCCAGCCTCCAGGCTAAATACACTACATACATTGCCTCATTTAATCCCACTTCAGAGAAGTGGGATCTGAGGCTCAGTTACTTAACTAGCCCAAAGTGGTAGCAAGTGAATAAGCTAAGATCAAACCCAGGCCAGCTGAGCTGGTGGCTCTTAACTGCGCTAAACGGCCCTAAACCATTTCAATCCAGGTTGCCTAGGTATTGAACATTCTCGATTCTGCCCCTGCTCCTCTTTCACATAACTTTCCTTCATCAAACACCCAACTTTGATTCTACAAACATGAACGAAAACTCTCACTTCCCTGCAAGAAAGGCCCAAGGTCTAATTTGAAAGTTAAAAAAAAAAAGAAAAGAAAAAGAAAAGGCAAGCTCCTTTGCTTTTCTTGACTCAGCCATGTAAACAAAGCTGTTGCTAGAAACAGTCTGGATGCGCTGGGGAGAGTGATGCAATGGTGCCCAGGCCAGAGAGGCGTGGCTAGAGCCACTGTGAAAGAAGAATGTCCGAAGAACAAGTAGATTATTTATAGGCTGATGACATGGAGGGCACTGCACATCCTCCCATTTTCTGGCTGTGAGCAGAAAGTGTCTGCACTCAGGCAAACACAGGCTGACCAGGCCCCATTCCCAGGCAAGGCTCTGACCACTTCACGCCCTTTATTTGGGGACATTTCCAAATAAAACAGGATCCTAGGCCATTAACCTAAATCCAAATGCAGGTTCCAAGAGGATGCAGGGAATGGCCCTGCCACCTGCACAGAGATTCTTATGATCTCCTTTGAACTTATGGACGTGAACACCTGTTGCTGCAATGTTGTACTTTTATTTGGGGCTAATTCCAACAACCTGTCAGCTGATGAGGGCATCAATAGATGCTTTGTTTCATCCCTTACAGACTTTTTAAATTCAACTTGTGATGAATAAGCCAGTTGTTAAGAAATCTGTCTCAGCTGAGTACATTTCGCTTAGGCGATTGACACATGTTTGATGGTGGCAGGGGGTATTTGTTATTCCGAAGTACCTATATTGGGTGGTTCAGGCTTGTAATCCTAGCTCTCTGGGAAGCCTAGGCGGGAGGATCGCTCAAGGTCAGAAGTTCGAAACCAGCCTGAGCAAGAGCAAGAGCCCCGTCTCTACTAAAAATAGAAAGAAATTAATTGGCCAACTGAAAATATATAGAAAAAAATTAGCCGGGCATGGTGGCACATGCCTGTAGTCCCAGCTACTCGGGAGGCTGAGGCAGAAGGATCACTTGAGCCCAGGAGTTTGAGGTTGCTGTGAGCTAGGCTGACGCCACCGCACTCTCCCCGGGCAACAGAGTGAGAGTCTCAAAAAAAAAAAAAAAAAAAAAGTACCCATATTTGTCCCCCACTCTGTGCTGAGTCCCATGAATGTGTCATGTGGTTGTAATGAAGAGGTCTTCTGCAGGTTCAAGGGCTTGGTCTTGAACAGTTAATTACTTAAGTAACTGCTTGATATTTATTCAGCATCCATGGAGAACCTCTTACCCTCTCCAAATTATAGTTCAAACCACTAATTTTCCTCCTACACTGATTTTAATCCAAGTCCCCCTTCAATTTAAGAACTACACTGATTCCTTGTTGCCTACAGCAGGGCTCAGGCTTGGAACAAATGAGGGAAGGTGCCCGGCCATAGGGCTAAGCACCAACTGACACTCAGCCCTCAGTGTCAGGGATATGGGGACTGGGGCACACTTAAGAATGAATGTTTGTTCTAAGAAACCAATGACTCAGCTTGGTGGTGGTGTGGAAGAATGCAGGCCTGGTGTGGCCAAGTCTTCCAATTCTCAAGGGAAGTCAGAAATCCAGATTTTTGGCTATGTGTGGCAGCTCACTCCTGTAATCCCAGCATTTTGGGAGGCCAAGGCAGGAGGATCACTTGTGGCCTGGAGTTTGAGACCAGCCTGGGCAACATATGGAGACCCTATCTCTACAAAAAAAATTTAAAAATTGGCTGGGCATGATGGCATGTGTATATAGTCTCAGCTACTTAGGAGGCTGAGGCAGGAGGTGCTTAAGCCCAGGAGTTTGAGGCTGCAGTAAACTATGATTGTACTACTGCACTCCAGCCTGGGAGACAGAGTGAGACCCTGTCTTAAAAAAAAAAAATCCAGATTTTTACAGGAAGCCCTACAATTTCAATGGATAGAAATATACATACTAAAACACAAGTATGGTACATGTTATTGGCAAAGCCTAGGTGGTGTGTATACAGGTGCTACCGGACAGTTCTTTCTACCTTGCTGTGTACTTGAAAACTTTCATGGGAAAATGCTGAATAAAAACCATTAAAGCATAAGCAAACAACATCTATGGGCCAGACTGCTCTGCAGATGGTCAATCTGGGCACTCTGGTCTAGCTTGAACTTCACTGCTCAGCTTCCACGGTCTTTAGGACCTTTCCTCTCCCCCTTCCTGAACCCTCATCCATTTGGTAGTCCCACTTTTTGGCATGTACTAGCAGTGCCAGGCTGCCCAAGGTCCACCCGACTCACTCTTGTCCATGCCTGTGACAGGCCCAGATTAGCTCTTCATCAACCCCATCTGCTGAGCACCAAGCTGCTGGCTATACTCCCACTATACACACACCCACACCCGCCAGCTCAAATCCCCTCCGCTCTCCCGGAAAGCCTTTCCCAACCCGTGCAGCTCTTTCCCTCTTGGAAGGCTCTCAACATCACAACTGTGATTGCACTTTAGGTTCTTAACTGCTTCATGGTGTTAGGTTTGTCTTCCCAAAGAAGCTTCTAGAGGGCTATGAGCACTTCTCCTTTCACTGTCCTGGGCACATACTGTATGGCTTTGGCTGTTCCCCTTGATGACTCATCAAAATTTACATGGGGATATTTAAAAAAAAAAAAGACACAGACATGCCAGGGCCCCACCCAGACTTACTAGGAAATGGAATCTCAGAGCAGGGGTACAGGGGTAGTGTCGGGGAGAGAGGGTGCAGGCCTGTTGGGTGTTTGTGATGCTAGCCTGGGGGTCCTGCCTACCAGCAGAGCTGAGAGCCAGGCCCCGGACACAGTTTCTCTGATCATCTGCTGAGCCCTGGAGACTGTACAAAGAACACAGTCTTTACCCTGCAGAGCAGGGGTTCTCCAGATACTCATCCATGTCTGGAAACAGTTTTGCTTGTCACAGCCTTGGAGGGGAAGAGGATGCTGCAGCACCCAGCGGGTGGAGGCCAGGGATGCTGCTCAACGTCCCACCGTGCAATACTCAGCCCCTCACCACAGAGAATGATCCAGACCCAATGTCAACAGTGCCCAGGTTGAGAAGCCTGCTCTGTGCAACAGAACTTTCCATAATGATATGATAGAAATGTTCTATAGCCCCTCTGTCCATTAATGACAACCCACTAGTACATGTGGCTCTCAGGCACTGGAGATGTGGCTAGCGTGATTAAGGAGTTAAATTCTTATTGTCATTCACTTAAATTTCAACATGTAGCTAGGGGCTACCATACTGGACGGCCTAAGTCTGGACCTTATAATGATCAGCAATTCTAGCAACACTCCATACTCTAGAAATGTCTCCCTGCCACGTGCCCTGTGAAATTGGCGTAGACAACCAAGAAAGTCCGTGGCAACACCCATGTGACCTGCTTCTCACTGAGCTCCACCCATCAGGGGCATGAAGAGTTCAACGACCATGTCTGGTGGCCGGCCCCTCGCCACAGGGCTTCTCCTTCCAGGCACACACACCATGTCTGCGCCAGGAGCCTGTCTATACCTACGGGCTTTTCCTCTCCGCCCTCACCTTGATGGTTTCTAGTTCCATGCGCAGGCGGTTATTTTCCGACAGGAGGTCTCTGTTCCTGGTTTCAATCTGTTGCAGCTGCGTCTCCAATTCAGCTTCATATTCTCGGCTTCCCTCCTGGAATTCTCGAAGTTCCTCTTGTGTGTTCTCCGCCCTAGAGCAGAATTCCCAAACATTACAATAGTAACGTATCGAGCTCTTAACATGTGCTGGGCACTGTACCGTCAGACGTGGAACACCTCTTTATTCAACTGCCTCTGAGGCACAAACTATCATAATTCCCATTTTACAGATGAGAAGATGTGGTTTAGACAAGAGGAATGACTTGTCTAAAGGTCACACAAAGCCAGAAGCAAGAACTTGGACCTGAACCTGGGTGTGCCTGACTCCAAAGCCAATTCTTAACCAATTCACTATTCATTCATTCAACATATACTTTTGAAGCTCAATATGTACTAAATATACTTTGGGTTTGTATGCTCTGCAGATTGATTTATAAGCATATTTCCAGGAACTGGACATGCCATAAACGTTCACTTATTGCATCACCATAATCTGCCCTGCCCCAGTCCCAAACACCCTTCTCAAGCCTTCAAATTCAAGGCAATTTTTTTTTAATACCAAGCCTGAATTATCTTTAAGTCAAACTAAGCATAAAAAAATTAGGGGGAATGGAATAAAAAGATACTATGCTGAACCAGACACAGACAGACACACACACGACTTCCAGATATGAGCACTGGAACACTGCTTTCAAATTTTAAAATCTGCAACAACATATTTTGCTCAGCACCAGGAAAAGTTCCTTCCCCACACATAAAGAACCGACCAGATACAGCACCCAGGAACGGATAATCTTATATTCCCGGGTTCTCCTTTCCAGAAAACAAGATGGAAAATAGCACAGCAGAATGGCTAGGACCACAGGTTTGGGTTCAAATTCTGGCTCTGCTACTTACTGGCTGTGTGACCTTCGGCAGGTTACCTGCCTTCACTGTGGCTCAGTTTCCTCATCTATAAAAATCTGTAAAATAGGGTGAGAACCGTTTCTTCGTAGGGCAATTCTGAGATAATGCCAGTTAAGCCCCTCACAGTGCCTGGCACATAACAGGCCTGCAATAAGCAACTGCTGCTATTCTTACGGGAAGAAAAAGTAGGATGGACTTCTGAGGACTGACCTCTGCTTGTAAGTCATTGCCAGGTCTTTCCAATAGTTTGCTTCTTCCTCCTCAGAGCTGAAAGTCTTTCCCGAGTCTTCCATTGTGAAAATGGGGAACAGATCACTCTTCTTGTGGCATGGTGTCTAGGGAAGGTTTTAAGATGATTACCCACGTCTGGTTGAATAGCTGATCTTTAAAGGCAAAAAAAAAAAAAAAAAAAATTACTTGAACTTTATGCTGGATTAAATGATAAAATACTTCCAAAAGATGGAAACTAAACCCAAACAAGACAGCCCACCCACCTGTTCCATTCCTTGGGTCAGTATCAAGCGTTATGCACATCATTGCACAAATACCAACCACCCTACTGTAGGACTCAGGGATCCAAATAAGATGTCTCCAAGATCCCTGCTTTCCCTCAAGGGGCCTCACAGTCTGGTGGGGAGGAGAATGTAAATTACATGTAAATTATAATAAAACTATGTGGTGAGTACAGCCATGGAAATGTGCACAGGATACTGACACAAAACAAACTGCATATAGCTGAGCGGACACTTTGGTGTTTTGACACACACATGTGTGAAACCATCACCACAATCAAGATAATAAACATTTCTACCAGTGCCTGGTATATTTAGGGAGTCCCAGACTCAACCTAAGAGTCAAGGAAGGCTTCCTGGGAGAAGCGATTAATGAGCAACACGTGAAAGAACATGGAAGAACAGGCAGGTATCGGCAGGTGAACAGAGGAGGAAGAGGATGCTATGCAGCAGGGAAAGGGGAGACACAGCCAGGCTCTCAGGGGAGCTGGAAGAAGCCTGGCGGGCCTATGTTGAAAGCTGAGGAAGGAAGGGAAGGGGAGGTGGGGCAGGCTAAAATAGAGGGGCTAAACCACAGAGAGATTTTATGACATATTGATAAACTACAGTGATGCGAAGCTACTGGAGGATTTTGCTGTTGTTGTTGAGACAGGGTCTTGCTCTTTTGCCCACACTTGAGTGCAGTGACATCACCATAGGTCACTGCAACCTTGAACTCCTAAGCTCCAGCAATCATCCTGCCTCAGCTTCCCTAGTAGCTGGCAACACAGGCACATGCCACCATGCCCGGCTAATTTTTTCTATATTTTGTAGAGATGGGGTCTTGCCATGTTGCCTAGGCTGGCCTTGAACTCCTGGCCTCAAGCAATCCTCCCACCTTGGCCTCCCAAAATGCTAGGATTACAAGTGTGAGCCACTGCGGCCGGCCTCACTAGAAGATTTTTGAGGCGAATAATATAATGGGCTCTTTATCCTTGTGTCCACGGATGTGTCTCCTCCCACGGGGAGGGACAAAGCCTCAGATGAGGAGCTGCTGCAGCAACCCAGGAAAGGGAGGTGGCCTGACCCACGAAGTAGGAATGAAGATGGAGATACAAGAAATGGACTCCAAAAATATTTAGAAGAGTCCCAGGATTTGGTGATATATTACATCAAATAAATCTAAGGGAGGGGGAAAGAAAAAGGAAGTGAGGACATCTCCTGCAGCTCTAGCTTAAACAACTGGGTACCACCACCACTCCAGAATACCAGAAGTAAACTCTTGTGTGGGTGGGATGGGGGAGATAAGAACCCAGTCTTGTACATTTGTAATCTGACATAACCGTGACACATCTAGATGCAACACTGGAGCTGAAACTCAGGGGTGAAGTTCTGGGCCAATGATACAAATTACAGCTGTGCATCTGTAGTTGCTTCTTCCCTTTTTCTAGTTGATGGAACCATTAGAGAATCCCGCAGGGACTGTGCATGGAACTTTGGGAATGCCAGTGTTGGAAAGGTGGTCAGAAAAAGCAGCAGTAACTGAAGGAGGCAGAGAAGAAACAAAGTGAGACAGACGAGAACCAAGAAGAGGAGCAAGGTGAACTGGGAGTAGACGGTATCAAGAGGGAAAAAAAAGAACATTCCACAGTCACAAGGATGCAACAGAGAAGCTGGCAAGATAAGGACTGGAAACTATCCACCAGACTGAGTGAAATGTCGGTCACTGGTGGTGTGAGCACAAAGAGATTCCACCCAGTGGAGGAGTAAGCAGGAGGTAAGGTCGGAGACAGAATTTTGAAGACCCGTATATAAGAAGAAGACACAAGCTAGCCAGTAGCTAGAGGGTGTGGGTGGGAAGGGCCTTGGCTCTCAGAACTATGAGCAGCAGAGAGCAGAGGTTAGGGAAGCAAATTTCTATTAACAGTTGGGCTAACAGTTTGCAGACTCCCTGCTGATAATGCCTGTCTAATGTAATAGTTTCTTCTGTGTTTATCTGAGACTCTAAGCTTGTCAAAGGGTCGTTAGGAATCCAAATCTCCAAGGTTCCTTCCTTCCCTCAAGGGAGCTCACAGGCTGATGTGTATCCCTGGGGACAAAAGAATGAACAAAACCCATCATTTTGCAAAATATAATCAACCAGCTATATTTGTGGTTTAGAAAAATCACTGGGCTATGTTAGTGGCAACATAGACACAATCACCAACTTCTGGATTCCTGGTAGGAAACACACCATTATACCTATATTCAAGCACAGAACTTCCCGATCACTCTATTTGTCAGTACCCATATTCACATCTTCCCTCCCTCCTAATTTTTTTCCCTTCCCTAATTCAGAGAAAACATGCCAATTCTCCTACCCATCCCTATGGAGAACAGTTTCTCTGAAAGCTTGATTGAGGCAGAGCAGCTAAATGTAGTAGACAAAGCTGTTGATCTCTAGGGTTTTTTTTTTTTTTTTTTTCTAGTTCTGCTTTCATTCTTCCATCTTTCTGTGACAGCACCCCAGTATTCCCCCGGGGGAACACTCTGCTCATTTCAAGTGGTTCACATGGATTTGACATTCTTTTGCATCTGCCTGTTCATGGCTCTAGCATCAGTGACGGACTCAGCGATGGGCCATAATCCACGCTGAGCCAACGACAGGGGTAAGTCCAAGCCATGCTGAGCCAGTGAGTGTCCAGGTACAGGCCTTTTGCATAGCTACCAGAAAAAGAAACTTTCTTTCTACTAGGGTTGGTAAGGTGGTAGGAGGTAAGGCTAGAACTGCCAGGGGTCACCTTGTTATTGCAAGGGGAGAGCCTGCTCGAGAATGAAGCCGACACAGAGGAAGGCAGGACCGAGAGATAGGGAGCCCTAGGGGGTCCTAATGACATCGTTTGAACACCTAGATCCAGTCATACCTGATTTAGGTTGAGAGAGAGAATCAATTCCCTATCTTGGTTATACCAGTTAGGGTTTGATTTCTGCCACAAGTCCTAATTAATGTATGGAGTGAATGGTCTTACTTGCTGAAAGGAAAAGGGTAGAGTGTGAATAACAGTAATTAACATGGCAAGGAGTAGGGCTAAACCTAGGCCTAGTACTCCATGCTCAAGCCATAAGCTCCAATGAGCCCAGATCACATCTAATTATGCAGTCAACAAACCAATTCCATAGCATCAAGAGCCCAGAGCCTATGCACCTATCAGTGAGCATTGTGTGGCCATTAAAACATTGGTGGTCTTACTGAGGACAATCTCAATTACGTGGCATGGAAGGAAATCATGTACAATAGAGTAAGGAAGTGAGGAATTACTGATTCTTCTTACATTTTGGAGAAAGATCATGTACAAGATCCAATGTCATCAGTCCCCTACCTAGGTCTCTAAATCTTTCCTACCCTCCTCGCCATCTCTCTCTCACTCATGCCCAGCCACACTGCCTTCTTTCTCTTTCTGAAACACACAAAGCCTGCTTCCGCCCCAGGGCCTTTGCACTTGCTGTTCTCTTGGCCTGGAATATGCTTTTCCCTTAGATCTCTGTCCAGTAGGTATCCTTCTTGCCATTTAGATCTCAGCTGAAATGTTCTCCCCAAAGGGACATTATTTGAATACCCCACCTAGTATCCTCTCTAGCTTTCATTATCATATTAACCCCTGCTTTGTTCTGTTTTTGCTTATCTTCCCCACTAGAATGTCAGCATATGAGTAAAGGGATCTTCTCTGGTCTTATTTTACCCCCAATGCCTAGAACAATGCTTGGCATATAAAAGGAATTCAAGGAATGAAGACAGAGAAAGAGATTGATCACCAGCTGGAATGGGATGTGAGGTCAAGGAAAGGCAGGAAGCAAGAGCTTGAGGAGGAAAGGGGTCCTCTGAAGGCTAGTTTGCATCTGTAAATGCCTAAGAAACTCATCAGAGGCCAGACGAGGTGGCTCACACCTGCAATCCCAGCACTTTGGGAGGTGAAGTCCGGAGGATCACTTGAGACCAGCATGAGCTACATACTGAGACTCGGACTCTACAAAAAATAGAAAAAATTAGCCAGACATGCTGACGTGCACCTGTACTCACAACTACTCGGGAGGCTAAGGCAGGAGGATTGCTTGACCCTAGGAATTCAAGGATGCAACGAACAATGATCAAGCCCCCCCCAAAAACAAAGGGAGAGAAAGAAAGAAAGAGGGGGAAAAAGCAACTTATCAGAAATGACTGATGGGAAAACCTAACTCTCCCCATCACCTAAGTGATGTTAAGGGGTTAGAGGAGAGGATGCCACATTAGAAACTACCCCTCACACGAGGTTTATGGGCTAAGGAGTATCTAATACAGTTATTAGATTCAATAACCCTCATCCTGCACACTTTTGACAGGTAAGTTTTAGAAACAGGCTTTTAAATATTATCTTGGCCAGTGAGGCTTAAAACTTAATCCTCAGGAAAGAAGTGAATCTGAGAGGTGTATAGGTGCATCCATTGTGGGGAGGCTCTAATTACAGGCAGGCTGACGGGAAAGATCTGGTTTGGGACCTCACGGACTGAGGAGAAACTAAGCAGAGACCCGGACTTATGTCACAGCCTGCACAACCTTTTACTCCAACTAAAGGACAAAAAACCCAGGAATGGCATTTCAACCAAAAACCCTTACATTTTAAAGGTAATCCTTAGGGAAGAGGAGAAAAACACGTTAGAGGCAAACAAAGAAGAATTAACAGCTGCACTTTACTTTGTTATGAAAAAGCAATCTTAAAAATGTAAGAGTTTTTCTTTGCCATTTGAAAATGCCTCTGAAAGTTCTCTCACACTACTCTCTGCTGCAGAAAGGAGGCAAGATGCCTTGCAAAGTTTCCCTCATTCCAGCATTACGTACTGAATTTTACTAACACCTGCTATTCCCTGTGTGCTAGGCACTTAACCACTTTGGTACAGCACTCACCAGCTGCGAAACCTTGCCCACAGCTGGCATTCACAGTCCACACGATAGTTTGTGCTGTACATTGATGACGGATCCATTTTGTTCTTGTGTGATGAGGAAAGCTTTAAAGCACTGAAAGCTTGTTTTACTTTACAGGCAGCTTTACTTGTAATGTAAATCAGAATAGGTAACATACACATATATGTTTTCATTACGTTATTTTTAAATGTTCACAATTTTATTTTGATAAATGAAAAATTAGAAAAGTCATATCACGGCTGTCAGCTAAAGTTGCTGTGCGCGTTCATCTGTGGCTGTCAAGTATAGTCGACGCTCGTACTGAAGTGGTCAATAAATTCTTTTCAAATATTATCCTCTTAAAGCTGTTCAACTGTAAGAGGTGGCCAGACAAGGCAATCATTCTGTTTCTTAAAAGCTGAAGCAGAAACCCTGTATGCCTGGGCCATCTCCAAATGTGCAAAGTGAGTGGCAGAGGAGAACCAAATCTAAGTGCAAGCAAGGGGTCTTTGAATTCAAGTTCAAGGTTTCCCAGGAGTTGCAAACAGACTGCCTAGAGGTCAGACTCACTGGTTTTATTTGACCCACACAGTCTTTCAAAAGGCACTGTAATTGGCAGGTGTTTCAATATACGCAGCTTTGTACCTGCTCTTAAAAGTGGATAGTGCATGCACTTATTTCACCTGTGCACCACCAACTTGCATTCTCAATACACCATCATGGCCTAGCAGTTCTGTGGGCAAATCTGA